AAGACGCAAAGGCAAGAAGACAAGCCCCAGTTGATCGCCCAAATCTACGAGTGGCTCCTTCAGCCTGAGAAGCTGTTGAAGCCACTACACGCAGTGACTTCCACTCTCTTGAATTTGATTTACCTCGTGCTGGGGTGCGGGGAGGCAGAGGTTGAAACGGGTCGGCTTCTCTACCCCTACCCCTTGTAACTCCGCGGACAGGAGGCGTCTAGGAGGTGAGGGCGGGGCGGACTTGGGGCGCTCCAGGCTTTGGCTGCAAGGGGGGATGCGGGGGCCTGGGCGCTGGGTCAGAGGGGATGCAGCGGCCTCCCTAGGCCTTTGGTCGGTAGATCCAGGGAGCGGGAGTCAGAGAGCATCCCTGCTGCTGGAGCCTTCCTCCTGCCTCCCATCCCCATTCTTCCTGAGCTTCCAGCCTCTTCCCCTGGACTGGATCCCAGGCCTCGTCCCCTCCTAGCATTTGGCTGCGCGCGGTCCCCTTGGCCAGCTCTTTGGCGTGAAGCTGGGTGAATTGCTTGCTAGAATGCAAGAATTTGGAGGTGGGGTGGTGCGCCCCGGTCTCCTGGGCTGGGGTGAGGGGAACGGGAAGCGAGCACACAGCCTTCGTTCGCCCGGGGGAGGGCGCATTGGTCCTCCCCTCGTAGAGAGCTGATTCCATCCCACCCTGGGGGCCGGAAGATCTCCCCGGAGGATGCTGGCGCATACTTGCCCGCTCAGGGGGAGCAGCTCAGAGACCCCGCAGACTCGGGGGGAGGGTGCCTGTCTCCTCTATCTCGCGGATTTCCGAAAATACCCGGGGCTCTGTAGCTCAGAGCCCCGCCGGTGTTCAGAGACGCCTGGGGATAGAATCGGCCCCCTTTGGAAACTCTCTCTCATTTTCTCTCGAGCTCCACCTTCATGGCCAGGGGCGGGGGAGAGGAGGTCGAGTGAAGGGAGCGGTCCCAGCTGACTTTCTCGCTCCTTCTAGCTGATGATCAGATTTAATTCAATATCTAACGCAAACATGATTATCCATGTAACCAAATCTACACGTCGACAGCACTGAGCGCAGCACGCGCAGGGCCGTGATCACACGCTGTTCCCGCATGGCGCGCCGGCCCCCAGATAACTGAGGGCACTGGACTCTTTCTAATTTCCCCCAGTGTCCTTTCCCACCACCTCCGGGTTCAACTGGGTTCATCCAGGTTTTCCTAAATGTGGAAAAGTCTACCTTTGCTCCCCACACTGGCTTGGGAACATTTGAGGTTTCATTTCTTGTTCTTCCTGAGGCCAGAGTTCTCCCCAAATCATTTGTCGTGCGATGGTCCAGCGTCCAACTTGCCCTGATACCAACCCCTCAACATTCCTCTCCTGACTTCCCTGTAACCCTGACCCGCCGGAGGGGAGGGGAGAGCCTCTTGGAGTAGGGTGGTCAGGACGCCTGAGGCACAGACCCAGGACTCGGTTGATTTGGGCTATTCCAGGACCCCAAACTTCTGGGGGCCAAAAATGATCACAAGAGCCCCCTAGGTCTCCGGAGAGGAAGAAGACAAAGTGGAAGGTCCAAGTTCTCGCGCAGGCTTTCACGTGTGCGCGCTGAGGGCGCATTTGGGGTTGGTGGCCAGGCTCGTGGGCCTGCAGCCAGGGTGTGCGCTCGCTCGTGCGGCCGGGAGGTGGGCCCGACGCCCGCCTCTCTCTGTCCTCGGGTCCCCATGGAGTCAATAAAAGCGCCCGCGAAGCCCTGTGTGGCCCTAACCCCAGCGCCCTGAGAGCGCACCCGGCGCGGGGTCCGCTTGGGCAGTCTATCTTCGCCCAATCTACAGCGGGCCGCACAAAACGGCACAATGGGAGAGCTGGGAGCCGAGGATGTTAGAGGCGTGCATATTAAAAAGGGCCAGAGAAAGGATCGCAGGGGACAGAGAGGGGAAGAGGGAGAAGGGGCCCGCCCTCCGCCCCCCTCCACCCCGCACCATTCAGCGCGCTTATCGCGGGCAGTGAATCCCGGAGTCAGGCAGAAGTCTCCTTGGGGTTTTGTTGGGCCTGTCACTGGGTCCCTTTGTCATCCGCGGACTCCATGCTGGATTCCATATGGCCAGCTGGGGCCGAGGGAGCGCGAGGAGGGACCCGCACAAAAACCC